CAGAGCGAGTGCGCTTACGATGCCCTCCTAGGCCATCCACCACGCATCAAAGAGACTGCAGATGACTGTATCCTTGTTCTTCCTTAGTTCTCACCTTCTTGCATAGTACGGCCCTCCCCATGCCCACTGGACAGTGCATGAGGAGTCTTGCGTGCGCGTCGCCTGACAACACTTGCATCTAGGCCGATGTCAGTGAGATGGCTTTCGACCTCGGACACACCAATGCCGCTCCCGCGCTGAACAGTCAAACAAACACTCGGAAGTGCACGTGGCTCTCGTGTCACCCCTCGGTAAGCATACGCCCACCCACCTGTCTTGGAGTGGGAACGTGGTTTCTTGATTTGGTAAGGGCGTTCTCCACTCTCTTTTGCTGGATCTTGGAATGGACCTCCTTGAGCAGCTGCTGGGTGTGACGCCAGTCCTCCTCGTCCAGCTGAGAATGGGTGCGGGCGTATGAATGGGGTATTGCTGTAAGTTTGCATACCACGTCATCTGCTCCACTCTGGATTAGCAGGGCCTCCTCCTTTTCGAGCTCCGTCAGACGGGCCTCAATATCAGGATCGATGAAATCTGTGGTACAGAGGGGCACACGAAGGGCCAGGTATGCTCATGCACCACACATCTGTACTGTGTGTGTGTGTTTTACCTGCAACGTTCTTTCCCTCGAATATCTCCGGGACGAGGTCATACTTCCAGCTGTCGTCTTGCAGCATGTATTGCTCTGAAGTCACCCGAGACGCGCCATGCGTGTGGAGTTTGGCTTTCTGCCTCTCTCCTTCTTCTGTCTGCACAGCTCACTTTTGAGGTCCACCGAGTACACTCCCGGCCCTCCCTGCTCCTCTTGCAGATCTTTCTCCGTGCGCCGCTTGGGCATCTCCATACCCATCTGCACATGTGCAAACGAGCTTGTGACGCATCGATCATGCCTACAATTAAGTGACCTGTTTCATCTGTCGCTGCTGCTGCACTGAATCCGGAATGCACGGCGGGCGATCTGGAAGCATTCAGACAGGCATTGCCAGATATCTACACAATGCCTCAATCGTCTACTGTACCAGCTCGTGGCTCCACAGCAGTGACGTGCAGGCGATTCAAAACACTGTCCACCTGAGTGTCATACAGACCGACAAGGCAAGAGGCATTCATGTCTTTACCGATGGTTGAGGCACTGGCAGTGCTTGCCTTTTTGGACTCCACCTTGCCCTGCACGCGACGTGTTAGCAGCAGCTCGCATGCCTGGACAGCACAGACACGAAAGAACAAGACACAACAGTGTGTTGGCGGGCACGTCCGTTTGGGTGCCTTACCTTGTTCTTCGCGTTGTCCACCCCTTGTGCTGTCAGACAAGAAGTGGGCAGGAACTCGACACCACCACCTGTACACAGCACACGTGACAGAAACAATTTTCCTCGCTTCGTGGGCATCCGCATCAAGTGTGATGCAGACCTTCTTTCATCGACTCGATCAGTGCTCTCTCGTCTGGTTCGAGTGCATCGGGGGGCCGCACGTCCATCTTGTTGAGGATGACCAGCAGGGGTTTGTTTCTGAAGAGAGGCTTGAGCGAGTGAAACAGGGCGACTTGCGCGTCCAGCCGGAAGCCACACTGCTCCGACAGATCCACGAAATACAACACAGTGGCCTGAAGCAGAAGCAGACACGATCGCATGTCGTAGCTGTTGAATGAATGTGTGTACATGCTCACCTGTATGTTAGCGAGCGCCGTGATGGCAGTCATTTCTATCGTGTTCCTTTCTTCCAACGGATGATCCAGAATGCCAGGAGTGTCGATCACCTGAAAATACCGAGACGCACAATACAGGGCGAAAGGACAACCTCACCCATGGATATCCGTACCTGCCATCGGGTGTAGTGGTAGTCGAAGTGCCCGACGTAGAGCGACTTGGTGGTGAAGGCATAGGGCTGCACCTCAACATTGGCATTCGTCACTTGGTTCATGAAGGACGACTTGCCGACATTAGGAAACCCTGTCAGAATCAGAGTGCGGGTCGTCCTGGAAAAACGGGCGAGAGAATTGAAATGACAGACGTCGGCATGTGCACACACATGTGCTCATTTCTTACGGATTGATGGATGGCAATCTGGCCAGATGTTGCCTGACCTCCTCCAGATAGGCCAGACTGGCGTGCAGCTTCTTCACTGCCGTGCACATTCGGCCCAGCGCGGCCCTCTTGAGCATCTTGCATTTGTAAGGGCTGTCGGCGTACTTCAGCAGGCGCACGTAGTCCTTGGCGACGTTGTCGATGATTGCTCGCACGGCATGCACCTGCCCGAGACCCACCTTGTAGTGATCACGGTCATACAAAACGTTGCAGAGGTCCGCGTAGAACGGGTGAAGGTCCTGTCGACACACACGCGCCCACGGGAGAAGGATGCTCGTGGGGTCTACACATCTGTCTGAGTGCACGCAGCAGCTCACATCGAGTTTTGGGAACTCCTGGAGTATTGACGAGAGCCTGTCGTGGAAGGCCTGCTGACAGAACTTGACCTTCCGCATGTAGAAGGATCTGATGCGGCTGATCTTGAACTGGGGATGCACTTGGGTGGGCGTCTTCCGCTGCGTCTTCGACAAGACGATGTCTACGAAATCCTTGGCTGTCGGAACGACAGTGATCTCCTGCAACAAACACACAGCAACATGTGGAACAAACGCAGGAGATCACTGTTGTCGACATCGGAAGGATCTCCAACCAACCCCTTACCTTGAACTTGTAGGACTGGGCCATTGTGACGGGCTTTCCTCCCGCAGCTCTCCCGCAGCTTCTCTCTGCCGGAGGGTTATTGTGTTGTACCGAGACTCGTGTCGAAGAAGAAGGTAAAAGTGTGTGTGTTACACGGGCAGGGGATCATCCCCTACATGAATTTTAAAACCGGGGCTTTTTCCCACTGGAATTCCGATGCGTGTAGGCAGCGCATGCGAGAGCTGTTTTGGTTAAGCAAAACTAGACAGCATGCTCTCGCTTTTGAACAAAGGAGGGAAAAAGAAAATTTGGCAATCTCTTCCGGTTTCACGGATTTCCTAAACATTCGCTTTTACTGTTTTACGGACACGCCTGCCCGAAGGGCAGGCACTGCAGGCACCCGTCTCACAACAATGTGCTCCCTGAAACCGCTGCTGCCGGTGTGAACAAGAGCACAGTAGCTATGACGAAGGGAGGTCGCGTTGACCTGGCCACCCTCACGGCTGATGACGAGGTCACAGCAGTTTATCATGAAGCAGACCAAGTGGGAAAGAAAGTCAAGGAGTCCAAAGTGCGATACACATGGGTGAGGCGGGAAGGGGGTTGTCTCGTGTGGATACGGCACATTTGATCGTGGCCGTACAGGTGCTGGACCTCGGGGGGACGTCGCATCGCATCGACTTCACTAACTCGCGGGCATCTGGGATGAAGCGGGTGCTCGTAGATGGCCACCTGCAACACGAAAACAAACAGTAAGACGGCCGCGTTGACAACCACCGTGGGTGCCATCCTGTGTGGCTTCTCTTCGCATGGATCAGGTTTCGGGGCGGTGCGTTTCAATATAGCTGGCCTATGGGCAAGCATCTCCTGAGCATCGTGCCAGACGAAGACGGTGCGCATGTCACCATCGATTTCTTCATGAGCAGCTTCACGTGTGATGCCGTTCCATTTCTATCAGGCGGTCGCTTTCGTCTCCGGATCAATGGGCTGCCATTCGAGGCCTTCGCACCAAAGCAGAAGCTCAAACGGCAGCAAATGCAACTTAGGGAGCAAGCAAAAGCCGCTGGACGGGTAAGCAGGGTGTTGAAATGAAGGCAGCTTAAGAGACTCGGTGGCGGGGGGAGCCGCGGTTCACGCGACGCTTTCTGGGTTCTGTCTCCTCTGCAGAATGCCGGTGCGAGTCCAAGTGGCGCTTCATCAGGAGCACATAGCAGCGTACAGCGCCCCGCAGAGAAGCGTCCATCGGACAGCAAACCACAGGTGACGGCGGTCGCGGTGACAGCAAGACAGCCACAACAGGTCAAGGCCAGTGACCCGGACCTGCTTATCGGTAGGCGGCGTTTGCGAGTGAGATGTGCGTACCGGCTTTGGCATATGTTGTGTGCTTGTCAGGCATAAGCGACTCGTCTGACCCATTTGCTGGCACAGTGGGAGTTGGAGCGGCTGGTGTGCAAGATCCGTTCAAGGAGGTGAGGGCGGTCGGCCATCGTCACAACAACAGGATGGGCGCGCATCGTTCATCCATTTGGTATCTGTACAGGAATCTGTCGCACCGAGCGGAGGAATCCTTCACGCTCCAAGTGGTGAGTAAAAAGAGGGTGCTCAAATGTAGCTCCCAAGTACTCAATAGGTGGCTTCCACTGCCTCGGTTTCAGACGATCTGATTGGCTTGGAGACCCCGAACAGCTCACCCCCTGCAGCACACGTCGGAGAACGGCACTTCGACCCACTCATAGTGAGCAGCTTCCTCGACGGGAAAGGGAACACCATCCACATCGTGAGTCTTATTCACCCATTAGATGAGTAGTTCCGGTGGCTCGTTTGACGCTGATCCCTTCAGCGGTGCTGAGCCCTTCACCGGTATTGCACCTGGGGCAGACATTGGGGACCTGCCACCAGACCTATTTGCAGCTCAGCATTACGATATCAGTAAGGAAGGGGGGGGAACCCGACACAAAGCCACAGTCGAAGTCAAGATACTTGTTACCTTCATTTGCTGCCTTTCTCAGGTACTCCGCCAGATGGCCGGTCCGAGGCCGACACCACGGAGGCGGGGCAACCCCAGCAACCAAACAGCCCTCAGTCAGCCGATCCGTATGGTTTTATGCCCCCCGTGCGCCACGCACAACTGCACACCCCAACCGGCAGCACACAAGCCGCCTCAAAAACGCTCATGCCGGCAAGCGACGACCAATTTGATTCGACCGAGAAGGCAAGCCCAGCGTCCTACGGGCAGCAACAGATGGCGTGCGGCAGTTACCCTTCACAGATGCAGTCATGGCAGCGGTTCGGTGGGGACTGGTGCAGCAGCACTGGGGGCTATGACAACCAGTGGAATACATCAATGACGGGGCAAGGCCGGCCGATCGGTCAGGCGCAACGAGCACAGATGATGCCATTGTCACAACAGCAACACGTGAGACAGGTGTGAGGAAACGAAGACAAATGCAAACCAGCCAGTATCACCCTTGTTGCGAACGCTTGGTGTTAAGGGTGGCGACCTATGGGCACACAAGCTTGTGCAGCTCGATTCTCTGGGCAACAACATGGACCTACCCACCACTAGCAACACGAATCCTTTTGCAACAGCGGCACCAGCTCCGAACCACAGTTCTGCTGCAAACATGTTGGAGGTAAGCAACGAGATGAAGGAGACCCATGAATAGTTGGATTCGTCCATGTCAGGGCGGAAGGTATATCAGCGGGAGCCATGGTGAGCTACAGGGCAGCTCAACTGTGTGCTTGCATCTTCGCACATGTTGTCTGTTAATCTAGGTGGCCCGATCGCTCAATCATCAACTAATGAGCTGGACGATGCTTTCTCTCTCATAAAGCTGTAATGGACATTTGCTAATGTTGCTGACATACGCTTACAACGGTGTCTCATGACGACGCGTTGTTCGAGAGCTCATGTGGTATACTATGTTACGAGGTGGCATTTTGAAATGAATGAGAGCCTGAATTCAAGCACCATTTGCTCCCGTCTCCGGCACATTCTCAGTGAAGTTCTCAGGAGAATGACGCTTCGCTGATAAAGGGAGGGAGGTGCACACCTGACCTCATGCGGCGTCGGACACACAAAAGTCCGACCGTCAGCTACCAGGATGAGCTGTGGGCGTGTGTGTGTGTGGCTGTGCCACCCACGCGAATGAGAGACGCCTGAGCCACGTGTGTGCTGTGATGATGGTGCAAGGAAAGACATGAGTGTTATGGTGGATTGCATGATGAGTGTAGTGTATCTATTGAGAGTGAGTGGGTAGACAGGCAGTAGATGATACATGGAAGGCACATGCAGACAGGCATGATTCCGAGAAGCGCACAACAAATTGACGGCAGGGAGAAGACATGAACGGACTCCGGGCTACGTACAACCGAGTGCCTCGGTCGGTGGGACCTCAATTACTGTGTACCTGTTCGCCTTTTCCCTGCTTACCTCTCGCTCACTGCACGTGCATGATGCGGTGGCCACTTTTCTGTTATCTGCGAGAGCCTCGCGCAAGCGGTGGGTTGCGTTGCATCCAATGCCTCCTACGTGATTTTGGTAGCGTACGCGGGCGTAGCACAGCGATCGCGTACATACGCGCCGCGTGCGGGAGCGACCCGATCGAAGAGGATGGTGGCGAGCTTTTGCGGAGCTCGCGGTGAGTGAACGGCAGCAGCGCGAATCGGCATTGTGTCTTCCTCCCCCCCCCTTGATTTTCACTGTGTCGTATTGAGTGTTACGTATTGAGTCACACATGAATGTTTGTCTGATGGGTGCAGACGAAATGCTCGCCGCCTGTGTATGAGCTGTCTTTGAGACGAGCTGTGCCTAGTGGAGAACGAAATGTGAAGTGATGGGGGGAAACTGTCATTAACCGTAACACTCGTCTGTGTGTCCGTGATACTCATACAAATACAGTCCCATCAGCACGCAGACTCAAACAGGCTCAAGGGGAGGAGGGATCAATCCCCGCCCCATCAGCACACCCCAGTCCCGCAAACC